ACCCCTGACCCAAACACAGACCCCTTCCTCCAAGCCCAGACCCCTGCAAGGGCTCCGGCTTCACCTCCAGCACCTCCGCCGTGCAGCTGGTGGAGTCCGGAGGGGGCCTCCAGACCCCCGGGGGGTCCCTGCGCCTCCCCTGCAAAGGGCCCGCCTAAAAACACCTTCAGCAGCTACGCCATGGTTTGGGCACGACAGGCACCCGGGAAGGGGCTCGAATACGTCGCGGGTGTTACCAGCAGTGGTAGTTACACATACTACGCGCCGTCGGTCAAGGGACGCTTCACCATCTCCAAGGACAACGCCCAGAGCACGCTGACGCTGCAGATGAACAGCCTCAGGGCCGACGACACGGCCACCTACTACTGAGCGAAAAATGCTGATGCTGGTAGTGGTACTGGTGATGGCACCGACCCCGGCACTGTGCCCCAACATCCCTGCGCTCTGTCCCCACATCATCCCAAACCCCTGCACCCAGCCCAGATCTTTACCCCCAGCCTCGGCCATTTGCACTAAGCCTCGACCCTTTGCCCCAAACATTGAACATTTACCCCAGACTTCAACTGTTCGCCTCAAATGTCAACCATTTTTACCCCAAACCTCAACAGTTTCCATCAAATCTCAAATATTTGCCACCAACTTTGACCCTTTTTTGCCCCAAACCTTGACCATTTGACCCAAACCTCGACCATTTTTGCCCCAAATCTTGACTGTTTGCCTCAAGTCTCAAATGTTTGCCCCAAATCTCAACCATTTGTTTCACGTCTCAGCTCTCAACGTCTCGAGCATTTTTGTCCCGAGTCTCAACCTTTTTTGCCCTAAACCTCAACCGTTTGCCCAAAGTCTCAGATTTTATTGCCCCAAACATCAACCATTTGCACCATAATTGTACCAATTGCCTCAAATCTCGACCGTTTGCACCAAGTCCAAAATATTTCCCCCAAACTTTGACCATTTCCCCCAAATCTTAATTGCTTTGGCACCAAACCTTGGCCATTTGACCCAAACCTCAACCATTTGTCCCAAGTCTTGACTGTTTCCCCAAAGTCTTGAATTTTTTTGCCCCAAACCTCAACTGTTTACCCAAATCTTGATTGTTTGCATAAAGTCTCGACCATTTCCACCAAATCTCAACTACTTGCCCCGAACCGCGACTGTCTCAGCCCTCAAACATTTTTGCCCCAAATCTCAACGGTTTGCCCCTAACATTGACCATTTGCACCCAACCTTGAT